CCTATGTGCAAGTATCATGCAACACTATCCCCCCCCCCCCCCCAAAGCAAGCCAGAACAAGTCATGTGACCATTATGATCATAAAGTCAGTACAGATCAATCTACGGACGCAATGGATGGTGAAGTTCAACGGTAAGCTACATGTCCAGACTATTTCTATCACAGTGCACATACCTACGCAAGAAGGGGAAACAAAACAAAGACAAAACAAAAAACAACAATGGGTGTGCAGGACGTGGCCGTGGAGGACGAGCAGAGTCGCTCCTATCGCTGCACACCCAAATGCTGTTCCTGGACGTGGACGTGGTGTAGCGCCCAATCGTGGACGCGGACGCAAACGAGGAGCAGCTCAGAATTCTCAGCCAGCATCAGGATACAATGACATCGATGGTGACGGACCTGGTGAGTTTCCTGCCTTCAATCCTGGCCACGACATTGGCCTGCAGCTTCCCCAAAAATTTCAACCAACATGTGAACTCGCGATTTTTTGAATATTTCGTCAAACGCATGATTTCAAATAGCCAGATGTGCAACTTTCCACATATTGTTAGGGATCTCAGCGCGTGAACTGCGCAGCCAGTCTGCGCAGGTGAGATTTTCGATCCCAAACGCGTCCAGTGCAGAAATCGTGGAAGAGAACATTTTTTTCGAAATAAATCAAGTTGAAGAAGACAGTAGAAATGGCTGAATATTGCGTCCAGGAAAGCACGTTCTACGGCCATCTCCAAGCTACCTATCTCCCAGACACTCTCTCAGAGGAACTATGAGGGGTCAAAGAGCACAATCTTTCACTCTTGGACGCAGCGTGAACACCTCTTCTACTGAGCGTGATGTCTTCTCTCCGAGTGATAATGGCGGCGATGTTCGCGATGGCTGATGCACTGAAAATCGAAGTTAGGACAATCTAACCGGAGAAAACGTCTGAATTTTTGACTGAATCCTCTCTGAAGTGGGCTCTTGCCGCATGGAAAATTATAGGAAATCGACCGGGAATTACAAAGTATGTTCGAACGACGATGAAGATGACGATTCCGCTAGTGTCCACCGCGTCCCCTAGTGTCGAAAATCGACCGTCGCCATTTTTCTGCTGTGTCCGCGAGCTGCACTCAAAACTCGATGACGCAATGTATGCGCAAACACCCTGCGCACTGCACGCGCTGAGATCCCTAATATTGTTGGACTTCATGTGTGTGTGTGTGTGTGTGTTTCTGACTTCAGTAGTGTCATACCTTTCAGAAAATAATATAGGTTTGTACAGTGTGTGTCGGTTATAGCGTGGTTGTGTAAAAGAATATGCTACCTACAAGAATGACCTCTCATATTTTCATAATTATAGCATGGGTTTCAAATGAGCATTTATTCTTACAAGCAATGTTGTCGCATAGTAGAATATATCGGTCCTAAGAATGGACTTTGTGTAGAAAAACATACCAGTACGAAGTAGTGGTTGCGACTTCGGCGATGATTTGTAAGAAAGGTTTGCTCCCCGTGTCTCACCGTCCAGGAGCGACACTGACTCACGCTGCTATCTGGTGTTCACGAGGTGTTTGTCGCGCTGGAAGCGGAGCGTCTCTGTAAGTTTGTATCCCTGGTGATGTTTGTGCCTGGAGAGCACTATATAAGTGATGCTCTTCAGGCACAATCTTCCTCAGCCTACTCAAGCTCAACTGATGAGGGGTGAATTCCCCGAAACACTGTGTATTGAGCAGGGAGTGGTGCTTTCTTGCAGGTTTGCCGAGTCGAAGGTTCGATGGACTTCTCGTGTGCTCTGGATGGCAGTTGTGAGTCAGTCAAGTGTCAAGTAAAGTCGGCGGAATAGCGCGAGCTCCGGTGTGGGGAGCAAACCTTTCTTACAAAACATACCAGATTAGTACAAAACGTATCGCCTGTAGTAACAACATCTGTCCAATGCAGCTCTGATCCGATTCGCATTGCATCGTAGTGCTGTAGGTTCAACAGTTGCTGTCATGTATCTCGTGCTGCATAGCCACATGGCAAGTGTATAGGACTATGAACACCCGCAGGCACATTGATACGTTGTATGTATGATGGCCATCCTGTCTCTGCCCATATGCATCTGACATGTCACACTTGATTTATTGTGTGTAAGAAATATCGGAAATAAGAATACAAAGTCGTTTTTCAAACACCCATGCTATAACCGATACCTACTGTATTTACAAATATCAATGGTTTCAAAGTTTCGGCGGGTGGTCCGCGGCTCACTCAAATACCGGATTTTTGGACATGGCAAGCCCAACGGTTTTTTTAAAAGGGAGGGAGGGAGGGAGAGATAGAGAGAGACAGAGACAGAGAGAGACAGAGACAGAGAGAGACAGAGACAGAGAGAGACAGAGAGAGACAGACAGACAGACAGACAGAGAAAGAGACAGAGACAGACAGAGACAGACAGACAGAGAGACAGACAGACAGACAGAGAGAGACAGAGACAGACAGACAGACAGACAGAGAGAGACTGCAAGGAATGTCAAGGAATATAACACATTTCCAATCTGAGTGCATGATTAAGTTTTACCACTATACTGTGGCCCCGGTCAGACAAAACTGGTTGACTAAATTAGGACAGGTACACCATGGCAAATGTATGATGAAAGGCATAATATATGGAGTAGTTAGGGTGAATGGACTTAGGGAGTATTCTTCTTTGACTTACAGGATTCTAATGTAATAGCAAGTACACTCTTGATGTTGCTGTCCTTGTCAACCGTGTTGCGTACAAATACAGAAACATTGTAGGTAGAATTCTCCTGCAAGTTGGTGATCAGAAACGACTCCTCTGTGTAACAGTGCTGGCTGACTGAGTGGTCTGTCGATCGATGACCAGAAGTTGATAGACGTCTGTACGAGGCACAGTATTCCTTTGCTTTGAATTGAGTGCCAGTCGGCATTACAATGGACACGTGTAAACTTGTTGTATTTTCAACTGTGATCAGTGATTCTACCACCGGTACTATTACCGCATTATGAGAATGCACGTACACGCCACATACACCAACACATATACATGCCACATACACACACTCGCACACGCACGCACACACACACACACACGCACGCACGCACGCACGCACACACACACACACACACAAACATGCACAAGTTGGAGATGAACGAGCTGGGAAAAATCAAACAGCGGTTCTAAGCCTAGTTTGCAGCTGAGACTTCGTTCTGCTAAAATCAATGCTACTGTAAAACCGGAAAGTTTAATAAGTGGCATAAAATTTCGGTATTTCCCACAATCAACCGCTCGGTATCACGAAAATTTCTGTAAACCAGTTCTCCAGATCCAAAAATGCATTTTGCACGCTGTGTGGCACGGCATTGTTGAATTTTAGGTCGTGTTTTATTTTAGGTAAAAATTACTTGTGCCGAAGAAGTTACCGAAAACATATCTCCACCAAAAACCGGTTTTGATTTGGTGATACATAAGGCCATTACAGTTTCATTATACGCCACTGATGAACACTGCTGGAGCAATATAGCTGGCTGGAAGGTTTGACAAGATCAGCATTTTAATTAGGGGTCAAAGGGGTGTACCGGGTACCCGGGTACCCAACCGTTAATCTCAGGTACCGTTAGTAACAGGGTACCCGTTTGGATTTTGATGAACCAGTCAGTACGGAACAACACTGCTGGGATCGTGTATTCCAGGCGGGAGTCAATTATTTACAACTCCACGCTGGATGTCTGCATTGTTGTTGCATTTTCGCACCTTGTAGATCTACTCCTGCGACTATCAGACACCAATCGATTTGCGAATCACAATGTGATATCAAAATGCAACCCGAGAACAGATGAATTAAAATCTTGCTTTATGTGAAAATTGCGCAAAAAATTAAGTACCCGTTATTAAACCCGCCCGTTAAGAAAATTACGCGTTTGTTAGTTAAAAATAAATAATAAATAAATTCGACGGGCTCGCGTACCGGGCAGGTCAAGAACAAGGAGTCGTACAACTCCCTGGTCAAGAACCACCTTTCCGCTTCCGTGGGACGCCACCACCCCATGATCAGACGTCAGATGCGGCTCCTAAACGGTGGGGGAGGATAGATCAGATCCACCAACCAGAGGCCAAAGTCCTCAATCCCATTTGTCACATCCATGTATGTTTGTTAGTTAAAGGTACACCTATTTGATCCCTAATTTTAATGCGACTTTTCCTCCCGATAGTAGTTATGCAAGCGTAGAGCCTGGTTCGGACGAGAGCACATTCTAGAAACAGGGTTGTCCTTTTTTAAAGGTTAGCAGTAACGCAGTCATACACATCACACTCACACATTGGGTTTTTCTTAGAATTGATGGGTTCAGTATTACTGTTATGTGCAACACAATTGCACAATTGCCAGCATCATACACATGCCTGTTGATGCTGCTCGTCTCAATATTAGTGAGGTTCTGCCACACGGTAAAACGTACCAAAGTACGTATGGAAACCTCGCCGCGGTACGAGGTCAAGTTTCAAACGGATTTTTTCATACCGTTTTCCGTGTGAAGCGCTCTTCACATGGACTGGTCTCCGTGTGGAAACTGAGCGGACAGAATACATGTGGCGGGGAGTTCGAGCATGCTAGAGTGTGCTACCCAGAGCAGAACCAGCACAAAGTACGAAAAATCCGTGTCAAACTTCACTGCAGTTGACACGGAGTTTGGTACGTAGTTCCGTGTAGCAGAACCTCTCTAATACCAGGTTGGTCCAGCCAAGTCCAGCCAAGTCCATTATTCATAAAAGTGATGTTTTGCTCTATATAATTAAAAAGTATGAAAATAACTGCACGTAATTTTCATACGTAAAAACAGCGCTGTTGGGTTCCGCTCTACGTGATTTCTCCACGACTGCTAAGCATGCCGTGTTCCTTTGGAGGTGGGTTGGCTGCATGCGTCCACCGCATGCACCATGAACCGAAACCGCGTTTACCATTTGTTTTCCACACAGTGTGTACCTTGTGTTTCGCGCAGCTTGAACGTTGCCCTGGAAATATCCGGAAAATGCGAAAAAATATTGAAAAAGTCCTGCGGAGGACCCAACTTAGGAAAGAGCTTTCCTACAGAAATCTGTAGACAGATTTACGTATGGAAATTGCCTTCGCTCCCCAGCGTGTACGACATACGGATTTTCTTAAAAGTGATTACGTAGACCGAAACCTCCCTACTGTGATTCGGAGCCACATTCAATAGCTCAGAAGTCTGAATTTGAACTGAGGGAAACAAATGCTCTAGAACACACTACACTTGGTGAGTGTTTGATGGGTGTTTGGTGGGTGTTTTTAGTGTGTGTTGGGTGGGTAAATGGTGGGTGTCTGTTTTAACAGTATTTGGAGGGTGCGTGGTGGGTATTTGGTAGGTGACCCAGTAAAGTCAGGCAGAAATTAAATGCAGTGCTGATTGCTATTCAGTGCCCATCTAGTTGTGTCTTATTTCAACTAACTTCCCAAACCAAACGCCTCAGAAAAATCCATACAGAAGCAAAATACGATAGTGAGTAGCACCAATTTCATTAGACTTCAGCATGCACGCATGCACGTATGCACGCACGTATGCACGCACACACGCACACGTGCACGCACACACACACACACACACACACACACACACACACACACACACAAACACACACACACACCAAGTGTACTGACCATCTTGTCCAGTAAAAGCTTTGAAGACATTCGAAAAAGGTCCCTGACCACCTGTACAAAGAGCCGCTATTTGGAATGTGTACGCAGTGCCGAAATCGAGACTTTCCACGGTGAAGTCTTCCTGTTTTACCATGACAGTCATCAGTATCCCTGAGCCTTCTTGCGTATAATTCACAACGTACCATTGCAGGATGCCATTGAGTTCAAGAACTGGCAATGCAGACCATGACAAAGTGAGTGAAGATAAGGTCGCTCCCGCCAAGGTGATATTCGTCGGGGATTCTGTTGGCACTGGAATAGGTTGTTGTAAAGCACAGAAAGACAATAAGAATATATCACTGCAGGGTCTATAGAAATAGAGAATGAGTATAAGACCAAGGCAAAGCCGAGATCATTAATTAATAATTATTCATGTACTGAATGAGTAAAAAATTGGACGGTGCGCATACTGGTCAAGAACCACCTTTCCGCTTCCGTGGGACGCCACCACCCCATGATCAGGCATCAGATGCGGCTCCTAAACGACGGACCGACGGAGAGAACAGATCAGAGATCAGACCCACCAACCAGAGGCCAAAGGCGAAATCCCATTTGCCACATCCATGTGGATATTGACCGATTATGAGGGCATACTAGGTATATCACAACATAGCATACCTAAAATGCTAGAAAAGGAATCATATTTTAATAGCATATGGTATGACGTATGCTGTTTACTTTGCAATGGACATTACTTCTCTATAAGCAGAAATATTCAGTTTTGACTTGTAGTATGTTCCCCAAGTTCTTTGACTGAGAATCTGATTGTTTGGGTTCAAGTCCTAGCATTTGGCTTCAGAATTTTCTTCTTTCATTTCTGATTTTTTCAGTTGAGGAAAAGGTTCGAAGGGCGCGTTTGATCGGCTGGATCCGGGACTGGATTTTAGAACAGGGAAGGGCGTTTGATTGGTCTGCACTGGTCTGCACTGGTCTACACTGGTTTGGGAGTGTTCAGAACATGTTCTGGCCCTCAAGGCTGAAGCAGCCAGAGCAATTTGCAAAGCCCAATGAAAACCGGACAGGGCCACTCAAGGAGTTAGTTTATGTTTCGATTCGAAGCGATTCCGGCATGTTCAGGGACTATGTAAAGGACGTGGTGATGTACATGGAGGTCTACGTGTGATTGGTACATTACTGCTGGTCTCCACTTTCATGATTGAATTTTTGTTTGTCTTCGAAGCTTCTTCTCCGGTTGTGTTCGCCTTTCAACTTTGTTTTGCCTTCGCATCTTGAGCAACGTAAACATCTTTGAACTCTCGGGAAATTTTGAAGTTCGCAGCACAGAGCTATCATGAGTTCTGCAATATTTCTGACAAAAATATTCGCTGTTCTGTTTGATTGTGATCCGCTGTTCTGACTGCTCCAGTGATCTGACCTGAGTCCGGATTGACCAATCAAACTTGCCCTAAATGCTCGGGCTAAGTGGTCAATACAAGCGGTCAATATAATTATGCTGATAACTGACCGCTTAGAGACCATAAGTTTCTGTGGCGGTCAAAACTAAGAGAGTGATAATTATCAATACCGGTAATCAGTGACATGCACCTGGATTTAGGGCTTGCCGATTCAAACAAAACGCATAGATCGTACATGCATACAAAGGGAGACACCAACCCTAAAGGTGGCCGGCATCTCAGTTCACTACTACTCAGCCTATGTGCAAGTATCATGCAACACTATCCCCCCCCCCCCCCCCCCAAAGCAAGCCAGAACAGGTCATGTGACCCTATGATCATCGAGTCAGTACAGATCAATCTACGGACACAAGGGATGGTGAAGTGAAACGAAAAGCTACATGTCCAGACTGCAAGGAATGTCAAGCAAAGTAACACATTTCCAATCTGAGCGCCTGATCTACCACACGAACTTGTCCCATCGGACAAAACCGGCGCCCTGAAATACGGCCAGGTTTACTATAAATTAGGACAGGCATACCATGGCAAATGTATGGTATACATAAAGTTATATGGAGTAGTTAGGGTGAATGGACTTAGGAAGCATTCTTCTTTGACTTACAGGATTCTAATGTAATGGCAAGTACACTCTTGATGTTGCTGTCGTTGTTAAACGTGTTGCGTACAAATACAGAAACATTGTAGGTAGAGTTCTCCTGCAAGTTGGTGATCAGAAACGACTCTTCTGTGTAACAGAGCTGGCTGACTGAGTGGTCTGTCGATCGATGACCAGAAGTTGATAGACGTCTGTATGAGGCACAGTACTCCTTTGCGTGGAATAGAATGCCAGGAAGCCGTAGAGCGGACACTTGTAAACTCGTTGAATTTTCCACCGTAGTGAGTGAATCTATCACTGGTACTAATACCACAATATGAAAATACACATACACATACACGCACCACATACACATACACACACACACACACACACACACACACACACACACACACCTCAGACCTCAGACATGCCCATCGCAGAAGCGATGGTAGCGAACACTTGTGCTGGGATTACACCATTCAACAGCTTGCAAGGCTGATGAATTGACCGCCACTATTTTTAGCCTGGTATCCACCACACAGCTGTTTGAAGTGACTTTTTCTTGCCAGTAAATCCCTATTTTCACACACACACACACACACACACACACACACACACACACACACACACACACACACACACACACACACACACACACACACACACACACTCTCTCTCTCTCTCTCTCTCTCTCTCTCTCTCTCTCTCTCTCATACTTCCTCCGCGTCATTAAAATTGTCGCTTCCCAGAGCGATTTTTCGAAATTATTTTGCCTACTCGAAGGGCAAAGAAATCAGCTAGACATTGAGGCAGAGCATTGTCGACGGACCAAGCTATAGTTTGTGGCCCCCGCTTCGCTGAACTTGCAGCTAAGGCCAACGTCTTCATCAGAGTTTGAGGCAGACCCTTCAGCACCAAACAATACGCTGAACAAGACGCGCGTTCAAATTCAGGTCAAGAAACTTCGTTTTCAAGCGATCCATGCCTCCAGGTGGCATGCGGTGAAGGCAAGCTAGCATTTTTCAAGCACACTGTAACGACCTTCCAGCGGGATAGGGTAAGCAGTTCCGCACCTTCTTTCCTTGGCAAGCGCTTCGCTGATTTTGTTGGTGTTTCTGCTACTTTCGCAGCACCATGCGCCACAAGTAGCGCATTTTAGGAATTTGAAACCACTTTGTTCTTGCCATCGTCAACTTCAGCAGTTCGTCTTCAGGAGAGATACCAGGATGCTTATACCCGAGCTTGCAGTCTTGACAAATGCCCACGCGAATGATGTGGGACGGCACGAACTCCAGAAAACGAAATGCGCTCCGGGGCGGAATAGTGCGGAGCGCGATGAATATGCTTGGTGCGGAAGAGAGCTCCGACAAAGTCCGAGACCAGCACGGCTTCAGTGACAAGTAGACATTACGCAGGAAGGGTCACACCAGTGTTCGAACACAGAAAACAGCGATTCCGACAGTCTGACTAAGACGACCCAAGTCACAAATACTGCGATGTGCGAAGCGACAATTTTAATGACGCGGAGGAAGTACTCATATTCCTGCCCAGTGCTGAAGCGATGATAGCAAACACCATGTAATATCATACACATGCCTGCTGATGCTGCTCGTCTCAATTTCAAGTACCAGGTTGGTCCAGCCAAGTCCACCAACTAACAAAAATCAGTCATAATAATTCGCAGCCACCTTCAATAGCTCAGAAGTCTGAATTGGCCCTGAGGGAAACAATTGGTTTCGCGCTACTAAAGTCTCCAGATTGCAAGAGGCTGGATCCACTGCATTCATATTCAATGTTCCCATGCTCCTTACTACTATGATCGCAAGCATCGTGTATAAAACAAAGGCTGGCATACTTACTATCTTGAGGAACTCGGACTGTAATCATTGCTGCAGGGCCACTGCCCACCTCGTTTGTTGCACGCACCTTAACAGTATAGTCTCGTCCAAAGTCCAAAGTGTCAAACCTAATAGTATTATTACGCGTGGTCGAATATCGTGTCACGGTACCGGTTGCTTGCACACTTACATTATAGAACCTCAGAAAGCCATTCAAAAGCAAATATGGCACTGGTGCCCATACTAAAACAAAACCATCTTGGGATTTCATGGTGACCGTCATATTTAGAGGGTGCCCAGTCGGTGCTGAAAGTCAAACAACGCAAAATCCACAATGTGCATGGGTTTTTAGTCAAACCATCCCAGATTAGAAAATGCTTCACTTACCGACGAAATTATCGTTGACCGACAGTAGCGAGAAAATGAGAAAGGCCGTTCTTCTGTTTCTATGATTTTCCTGGCTATGCAAGGCTGCTGCTGCTGCTTTAGTCTTTCCCACAATCTTCATTTTAGTGTTTGCAATTGTGTCTCCTTGTTCCAATAAAACCTCCATTACTGATCACAATGTTCTCAACCTCATAACATCGTCTTGTATGAACCATTGTAGTAGTCAAAACTACATGATTGTACTACAGTTCTGGTATGTGAGCTACACAATTGTGTACAATGCACCTGATCAGTGCTGGTGGTCTACGTGGTAAAGGGTTCAGAGGTCATGCAGATAGTGTTTTCAGTGAAAAGCAGGGTAGAAATCATGGCAGTACAGTATTGTATGCTCGAACAGTACATGTAGCAGAAGATGCGAGTGAACAAGCCTTTATCAGGTATCCTGAGGCGGACGAGATAGTGACGGGTAGTCTGCAAAACTCCGCGTACATGTACCATTATGCATGATACGAAGTCATATCCTCTGAATTTTAGCAGCCATGACTGTGCAGGCTATGGATATTGCTCTAATATTTAAAAAAAATTGAGGTATAGCTAATGTTCGGTCATGATGGAAGGAGAGTTGGAGCTACGGGAGAGATGAGCTGATTATTCACAGGGTGAGGGTGACATTGGTTGGACGAGTGTGACGATTACGAAGACATTCGAACATGATAATTTTCAAAAGTAACTCAAATTTGGCAATGAAAAAATCTTTTTACAAAAGAGGTCAATTCTAGTGGATAGCAGAAGTGATGTTTTCCTTTTTCCATGTTGATCTCTAACATGCATGGACACCTTGGTATGGGGATACCCATGTAGCATTTTTTTGTACTTATTGCCACTTGCAAGTACGAAAAAGGCTGCGACAAATTTCCGAATTTTGAGGCTCCATAAGTACAACAAAGTGAATATGTATCCCGGCGTTCCAAAGCATAATATGAGAATTTTGCGAGCATATTAAATGCGAGAATCCATGAAAGCATTATTCCATGATTTCGCGAGCATAATCCGCCAGAGCCTAGTATCGATCAGACCCCCCCCCCCCATTGCTCTCGAAATCCACTCGAAATCTAGCTAGACCTTTCAGGTACTAGTAAATTAACTTACTAACTGAAATTGGGATCAAATGGGCTGCCAAGTGAGCATTGGCGACATAAAAGCAAAGCTGAAAGAGAAGCGGCAATATTGCTGACGCGGACCAAGTACCCGTTATGGCAAGTTGGCACAGCCGCAGATCCAATAGCCAAAATAGACATGAGTAAACCACTGTGTTTTCCCAACTCTCCCTCTATCTACCTCTCTCTCTCTCTTTCTCTCTCTCTCTTTCTCTCTCTATCTATCTATCTATCTATCTATCTATCTCTATCTCTATCTCTCTCTCTCTCTCTATCTATCTATCTATCTATCTCTCTTTTTTTCCCCGTTGGCTGTGACAGTGTCTCTCTCTCAGCACCAGCACCAGTAGCAGCCCCAGCAGCAGCGACAACAGCAGCAACACCAGCAGCAGCACCACCACCACCACAAGCACCAGTAACAGCCCCAGCAACAGCAACACCAGCAGTGACAACATCAGCACACACACCAGCAGAAGCAGCAGCAGCAGCAACATCACCAGCAACAGCACCAGCAGCAGTTTTAGCAACAGTAGGAGCAACAGCAGCAACAGCAGCAACAACGAGAGCAGCAACAACAGCAACAGCAACAACAGCAGCAACAGCAGGAGCAGCAGCAATAACAGCGACAGCAACAGCAGCAGCAGCAGCAGCAACAGCTGTTGTGATTCTCAGTGTTGTGACCCCATCGCAAAAAAAACCTTGCTCAACACACTGGGCCATTGCAAATGAGTACAAGAAGCACCCACAATCAAGCACTCACCTGTTGGTTTGGTTCCGATGCTCAAAGAAGGCAAGGCAGTGATTCGACTAATACTACTGGTCACAGACGCCGTCACGTTAAACTTGGCTGCTTCCTCTAGATTTCGGAAAGTGATGAAACTTGTGTTGCTGCAAATCGTTGTGCTCCCTACTCCTTGGCTTACTCCGGAGACCGAAGTTCTAGAAAGATGCGCACAATACTTGACAATGCGGTAGAAGCCAAGCGAAGCAGATATATTCAAACTGATCCACGTTGGTCCGGAGTCATTTGTCATAACTAACGTAGGCCCTACAGATCAGCAAAGGAACACATGCAGTAGAAACCCCTCAATATTGTGAACCTTACAACTGGTAATACCGTAAAGTATCGTTGATCCCCCACCCACCCACCCACCCCACCCGCTGTTGCTTCCCAGCTGGTTGTTTGGCGGGGGGGGGGGGGGGGGGGGGGGAGGGGGGATTACATCAAGTTGGTCAAGTGCAGTACAATGTATAACAAAGCAGAAGATCAGACTTGGCATGCTGCCGATTGTGCACATTTTCATCATGTATTGCGTACAGCAGTGCATGGTTCGGTTCAAAAGCGTATTTCACCGTACACGCTGAAGTCGATTTACAGTCAGAAATTCGACAGGAGTGGAACTTAGAGAGGGGGCGGATCAATGGAACTTGACGGTATATGTTATGCCTGATATCACCCCATAATTATGGTACTGTCTGACGCACCAGTGAATGGTGTCCGTCATCTGTTCATGCACGTCTTGTAAAATATGGCCGTGTTCGATTGGAAATACATGAATGCTGCATCTCAGCCTCCTTGGATCAGCACTATTGGAACTGTTCGATCATGACAGTTTCTGCAAGTTTTCATATTCATCTGTGTGTGGAAACTTAACGTGGATGAGAGGGAAGTGATTGGTTCCGTAAAACTTTGTGCGAAACACCCAAACCTGTAGGCGGCAGTTTTTTTTCATTTTGGTGAAGTTGCGCACATTTGAATGTGAATAGAGGACGAATCCAGCGTGGCAGCTCATGGCATTCGACGTAGCACCCCAAAGACTACAAGGAGTGACATGATCAGGGCATTGGGCAATACTTCCCAATGGGATAAATCTCCAGCATATTGGCAACTTACTATTCGGCTCAATGTTGGCGTAAGGTCCCACTCCACCTGCTGATACTACTGCCACACTGATATTGTACGGCACGTCATCAGCAAGTGTGGTAAAATTGAAAACAGGCACGGTAACATTGGCTGACATTGACTTGTCTCCAAGTTTGTAGATAATACTGTAGTGGGTGAACCGTCCGTTTACATGGCGGAAATCAATGGGTTTCCAGGTCAGCGAGTACGACTGGCCTTTCGGCGGAGTTACAACCAAACTTGAAGGTGCCCTGCTTGGTGCTACAGCAGAACATGAACAGGAAGGGCATAATATCAATAAAACAAAATTAAACTGGTGCTCATGTCAAACAACAAAGCGGCAAAGGTTTAGTTCCAGAATGTTTTCTTGTCACATTTATCAATGAAATTTCGTGACTGACAGAAAATAGATACTAGTAACCAGCAGTAGGATATGTACAACATGGAAATTGTGGGCAAAAGTAAATAATACTGTTATGCGATCGAGTTCACCAACTAAACCAGATTTCGAACAGTCAGACGTGCACAATCTAGCCAACAACTGACAAGGAGTACTGAGACATTCCACGGCATGAAAGTCACCTTGAGCACTGCTTGATAGCGTTAACCAACGGTCTTCCAACTTGGAAGGTTAATGGACATAAGCGTTAATTCCAAAGAGGGGAAAGGCGAGGCCATCAAGCCGAGCACAAGCTACATTCCAAGACTTCATGGAATGCTGGCCTGGTATGATGACGGGACGGCAAGACCAGACAGAACGGTTCAACCACAATTCGACAACGCAAAGCAACAACCACCCAACTTGGGAGGCTCAATATTATCAGAGGTGAAAATATGAAGGGGAAGCTTCGCGAGGACGAATTGTAACAAACCAAATGCCAGTATCCTACAGTTCTGTACTTAATTGATGACAGTGATGGACAAACTAATTGCAATAACACGTATAGTATCACACGACGATCGTTTCGCCGTATTGTTCATGTTTATTGTGCCCACAATTTCCATGTTACAAATTTTCTTAGATGCTCATGTTCCGGGGACATGCACAACCATTGCAAGAAATTGCAACTGCCGTGCCCGAAAGAATTCTCCCCTAAGTGGAGTTGCCTATCATTGAACATAAAGCACTAAGAAGATATCACTGTCGAGGACAATCTCAAGGAGTACACTGCAAAAACGGAATGGATCTTCAAGACACTCCATTCGCCATGGGACGCATGAGAGCAAAATACCACTATGAAAACCTGGTTTTAGACTGGCCTGTATGGAGACCACCTCTACACCATTGACTAGTGATTCGTGAGGGCCCGCAGCTGCACAATACACTAAAGCATGCCAAAATTCTCAAACCTGCCTCAGTGGGGGCGATACAAATTGTTCCCTCACTTGAAGGTCAGAGCCCGTGTCCCCAAGGTCACGCAATTATATTTTTGTACCTGTTTCGTGTTTGCTCTCTACGTGGCTGTACAGATGCCACTAAAGTAACGTTCTTTTGCATGGCAGTTCGGGAAGAAGCATGATTTTAGCAGCAAACACGATGTCCCGTCTCCTTGCTGTGCGGAAACATAGTGTCTCAGGGCACAGAGAACTATGTGAGAAGTGAAGCACTACGCAGGCGCGTGTCAGCCACATAACACTTATAGGTAGACCTTCTCGCCACACCACAATTTACAAGCCCTACACTGGTCACGCTGCATAGCCTCATAACACATTGAAATACACGCCAGTAGGACAGAGAAGCTTACGTCCCGGATCGGTAGTCACGGAAACAGGTGAGAAGAGCGGCCCATTCTGCCTGTCGTCATTTTGACCGAAACCAAGTAGCTCATATTCTGCATCCTCTTCTAATCCATGAATAACAAAGGTTGAAACCCTTTGGCATATTTGCTTGATGGATTGATTCACATGAATTGAGGATACAGCTCTTAAGGTATAGTTAACACAATAATAATAAGCTATTTTTGACCGTAATGTTAACTGAAAGCTGACGGTAATTGTTTGGTGTGTGACTGAGGCAATGGAAAGGTTTGCTGCAGAAATCAATAGGAAACAAACAGGACAATGTCATTATACTTGTAGTTTATATCTCTGTACCTTTTTCCCGTATCTGTATTTCTATTCTCTTTCAAACATACACTCCATAGATCTACTCTCCGTTCATCCCAAAAAGGGACGTGCTGGCTTTTGGAACGCCAGGCTTTGCTCGAATTAAAAAAGCTCAAAAACCCATCTAAAATTGCTAATCTGGTTTTTGGACCTACTTCTTGATACGTAAATTTTATTTTGCCATGACATACATGTCTTAAATTGTAAAACATGGCCGGGTTTCTAACTCTCTACCCTTTCACTTTGCCGGCCTGAAATGTGGCAGAGGTATTACACAGGCCACAAAATGCATAGTGTACAGAGTGCACACGCTGCTTGCACGATATGTACTACTATAATGTACATGTACGATATCTACTACTAGTACTATATGTACATGTACAATATCTACTACTAGTACTATATGTACATGTACAATATCTACTACTAGTACTATATGTACATGCACGATATACCAACAAGGCTAGGGTGCCAGTTTCTCACTAATTCGTTGATGCCATCTTCATTTGGTCCATCTATACATACAGTCGACTCCACTTATAACGAACTCGCATATAGCGAATTTCGTGATATAGGGAACTATTGTCCATGTCCCTGTTTGAACCCATACAAACCTGACCCTTTTAGCGAACAGTTTTCGCTTATAATGAACCAAATCTTGTAGGGATGCATCTACACCAAGTGCACGCATACTGCCTTTGGCCAAATATCAGTCAATATCCGACTCAGGGCCTGCTGCTTGTATAGTGTGAGTGCATTTCTGTTATAACGAACTTTGGCTATAAAGAACTAATTCTCCTACACAACGGTGTTCGTTATATCAGGTGTCGACTGTAGTACTTCGTCCAACTTATTAAAATGTTCGCTTCGCTTTGAACGTCTACCACACAAATTCAAATAATCTCAGGATGGAATGAACTTTCCAGCCACCTAACACTGGCCTTCAGTTGTCGATTCGTGATGTTGAAGAAGAAATGGCTCCGACTCCAAAGGAGGCAGCGCCCGTGATTTCCAAGTCGACTCGAGCATTTCGCGTCCAAATTTCGTCATCAGAGGACTCCTGTTGCTTCACGTGCCACACAGAGAAGGCCTAGTGCTGAAATCAAAAGCCCAATACGATGAAGAATTGTCATGGAGTACCAGAAAGTCCTGGGTGATCGCTCTCGATTGCCTCCTGGCGGATTGAAATCGCTGCAGTCGCTGTTTCCTGGGCAGAATTTCAGCAAACGTGGCATCCGGAAATGCGTGCAGCAGCACCAGCATCGCTTCATCCAGTCCGCTGATCTCTCTCGCAGTCGTTCACGATGTGGCGACTGACGAATCAAGATCAGAGAACAGATCGCCGAGAAGCTCATCGAAATGAACAATCGCCCCTGGGGTCGCCTCTCATGCGACAAACTGGCTGGAAAACCGAAATGAAGAAGGGGTGAATTATTCTGCGGATACGGTCCGTGAATGGTGTGGAGTTCTCGGAGCCGCGATCGCGAGGCGTCATTACTACATCAAGCTAAAGCTCCGTCACAAGATAGCCCGTTCATGGCCACCAGTGGATTCGTAATACAGGGCAGAGCGCGCATAGTCTGACTGTATGACACAGTCCGCGGCACACGGTGATGAAAAGTGATTTTTATACGTGCTGGTGTACTTGTTTACCTCATTTGAAGGTATCGTGGGAGCGTCAGGCGAAAACACCTACAGCCACCATTATAGTAGTCGCACTGCTGAGGTAGAGGTAAAGGCTATCGTCTAAATCGTGCCTATGAGTGAAAAATAAAGGAAACGCAGCGTAGCTTGGAGGACATGAAAACATGTCGACGTTTTGCAGGGAGACGCACGTGCAGATGCGCCCTGAGACAACAGCAGCGATGAGAACTAGAAGGTCAGCCCAAGAAACGATACAGTAGTTATCTATCTACCGTCTCTTGGTGCTAGTGCTCATTTGTACACATGCTTGAGTTTTGAAGTGAAGCGCACATTTTAATACGTCGGGTCAAGTACTAGTAGGGCTTTTCGACCTGACACTGAGGACGACATGATGCTCACGGCCACTAGCACAGTTTACCAGCAACACTCCAGCACAGTTTACCAGCAACACTCCAGCAAGAAAACAGGCAGCCCTATCCACTCATAACTCCGAATCATGTTATCTACGGTGGAGAGCTGTGATTCTAACGTTAATTATTTGTGTGGCATCGTTGGCCTTATTGTTTAGTGACGTCCTTTGTTGCTGTTTTCTCGCAAAGGAGAGCAAAGAAGATTTTTTCAATGAAAATAAAAACCCGAATGGGATCGCTATAGAGGTTTTCAAGGTTGTAGAGTAGACGGTTCGATACTGGAACGCTTTGACAGCCAAATTTGTATAGACCCAACCGATCATCAGCGTTGATTTTTCACTTGAAATATGTTTGTGGAAGGAAACTGGCATGTTGAAGTTTGCTCTGGGGCCAGAGTCGATCGAACTGAGCCCCTCCTTTGTGTTGACCCATTGCCTCCAAGTTGCCCAATTTTTCGCTTCAAAAAAGTTCAAATCAGAGGTGGCTCCAAACCGGACACGTTTTAGAGTGCACGTCAAATTCACTCTGGGTCTGAAATTAGGTAATTGCTACCGCTCCACGACGGCCAGTACAGAGTAACAATAAGCCTTGTGTGTGCTTCCATTAGTTTTGATTGGTATGCGGTGCTTTATTGGCGAGAGGCGAGCCGCTGTTTACCTGCGACAAGAAAATGATTTTTCGAAAGTCGTAAAACTCAAGTCGCAGTGCGAAGCAACACGTCAAAAACTCACCTGCTTGGTATGGCGCTTCTGGTCATCGCAGAGCCATGAAATTTTGGCTCGGAGTATAACACATCGTAGTTTCACTGTGACATAATTATGTTTTCTAATCAAAATACCAAGAGAGAAAGTGAATATTGAGTCCGTTCCGGTTTGCAACCTGTGTCCTATTTGAAACCGTCGCCTCTACCAACGGTCACTTTTCGGGGTCACGTGCAAGAAATTTTGAATCGCTGGTGAACAGGCGAATCCCAGTTCACGTTCACTTTGTATGGCAATGGATGCGTGGAGGTGCAAGAAGTAGTAGAATGGCGCTTTACTTGATGTCCAACACTCGTGTTGAGTCAGAGCAGTTACCAGGAGGCCCTTCCATGGCTTAGGCAAAAGAACAAGCTTGAGAATCGCTCCAAGCACTGGTGGAGACGAACCCGTCACATTTCGTATCTCTTAATTTGCTGGCCCAAAATCCTATATATAGGATTCGAAAATGTGTGCCTTTTATGCCGTTGTTATTGGTCATCACGACCAATAATAACGGCATAATGGTTTTCATGGAAGTTGTGTTGTAACTGCCTTTCTCTCCCTGCTCCCAGTCCCGTGCCATCTCCACACTTGTACAAATGGACGACGATAACTACATTTAGAAGACTATATTTGTGACAAGACGACGGATCCACAACTATACATGACGAACTCAAGACGAAGACATGATGAACTCAAGACGAAGACATCATGAACTCAAGACGAAGACTGCTTTTCATACCACAGCAACACGCGCATGCACCAACATGACGTACACACGACGTACACAAAATAACGTACTACAACATAACTCCCTCCCAAGAGTAGAATCGTCCTCGATTCTAATAATTAGAATCGTCCTCGATTCTAATAATAAAACAGAGTAAAAAGAGGAAAAGATCACACAAATCACTCAATCATACCACACCAGTCACACCCAGAAATAAAATACCTCTGCCTGCACTGCAGATTACAAAAACTCTGTCCGCCCACCCAGAACACCAGCCACGATCGCTGTCACACGTGTGGGAACTGATAACCTGAAAAACTCAAACTAACTAACGTGTTACTTCACTCAACACACCACCTCACGATCACGCAAAAATTCTAAAACGTGAGAGCACAAATCATAAGAATAGCAAAAAGAACAAAATCCACTGGCTCTGTGGGGGCCTCTAGTTATCCTCATAGAAGAGCAAATCAAAAAACAAACAGAACACACGCGCTGTGCGGGCGCCTCTTTACCCTCGAGGAGAGCAAATAATAAAGAACAAAATGTTGGGAGAACAGAAAATACACAACTCACATACTCATCACGTTCACAACAACACACGTACCCTCTCACCAACGAAACTCCTCACACCGTCTGCCATGTCGTCCACCATCTCCAGGAGCGCTGCTCAGCGTCGACATCCTCACTTCTGCAGCCTCTTCTTCTTCTCTTCACCTTCCATCCATCCTTCTTTTTTCTTTTCTTTTTCAGGTTTCTGGGCACAGTTTTACGTCGTGTCCGGGACCACCAGTGACGACGACTGCCAAGAGACGGGAGAGACGAATGATGAAGGACGATGACGACGGACGAACTTCTTCAAGACAGACAAAACTGTGACGATAGGACGACTGAAGATGACATCGGAAACTGGGAGCGAAGGCCACGCAGGACGAATCCAGAAGTTGAGATTTACAAATAATTTCCATTACCGCTGCCACCAATGTTGTAACTCGCTTTTCTCCACCTGCTCCCAGTCCCGTGCCATCTCCACACTTGTACAAATGGACGGCGATAACTACATTTAGAAGACTATATTTGTGACAAGACGACGGAACCACAACTATACATGACGAACTCAAGACGAAGACATGATGAACTCAAGACGAAGACATCATGAACTCAAGACGAAGACTGCTTTTCATACCACAGCAACACGCGCATGCACCAACATGACGTACACACGACGTACACAAAATAACGTACTACAACAGTTGTAAATATGTTTGAGGCATGAATGTTTACATTTTAGATTCATAAGGCAATAATATTTCTGATGAATACCCATTTTCAGCAAGAATTGAAAATTTGAGCATAATTTTTCAGCTGCTGTCATGGAAAGGACTGAAGCAGTGAATGTG